GGGTTAGTTAGAATGTTTTGAAGAATCGAAAATACATTTTGGTCCAAAAACAACAAAAACTAGGACTTTATTCAGCATTGTATTGTGTTCCGGTTCTGTTGTGGATCCGCGTTCAGTGACGCCGCTGACGTAAGACGCTGCTGACGTGTGTCTGGTGTGTGTGTGTGTGTGTGTATTCTGGTTCTGTTGTGGATCCGCGTTCAGTGACGCCGCTGACGTAAGACGCTGCTGACGTGTGTCTGGTGTGTGTGTGTGTGTGTGTATTCTGGTTCTGTTGTGGATCCGCGTTCAGTGACGCCGCTGACGTAAGACGCTGCTGACGTGTGTCTGGTGTGTGTGTGTGTGTGTATTCTGGTTCTGTTGTGGATCCGCGTTCAGTGCCGCTGCTGACGTAAGACGCTGCTGACGTGTGTCTGGTGCGTCCGTGTATTCGGGTTCAAATAAATATGGCTGGGCAAAAAAATGCAAGTCTTCCTCTGTGTGGAAATCCTTAGACATGTTTGCGAAGATTGCGTCTCCCTCAGACTGTAAACGAAGCTCGGGCGCACCAGACACACGTCAGCAGCGTCTTACGTCAGTTTTTTTAAAAATCGAACAAAAAGACAAAGGTACAAGACAGTGTACTTAATGGTTTTAGTGAGGGAAAGAACTACAATCCCATGATGCATTGCGAACAGCATAATCGAATTAAAAACAATGGAGAAATATAAAAATTTGGGTGTAGGGATACTCAATTACGTCATTCATTCGCACTGCTTCATGGGAGTGGACGGAGGTAAAGAGCTATTTTGACGCATGTTGCTTTTTTTGACTCTCTGATTGGTGGAATGTTCAGTACAGCATTATGGGTAATGTAGTTTATCACCAGGAATTCTGCTTTTAAACACGATTATATAAAAAAATAAGCTGAAATAATGTGGGCTGACGGCTCCAGCAGAAGCAAATAGCATCGATTGACAAACTCGTAGCTCACAGTACGACTGTCTTTAAAGGTTTATAAGTTATCGTTCAAAATCAATTTCTTTATGGAGAAGTTTTTACTTCCGGAACCGGACTGTTACACTCTATAGGTTTGTGCCATGCCATTGCAGCTGCCTGAGATGAGTATTTCATCTCCACGTTCCAGAATGCAGCAAAATTTAAAAACATGAATCAATATTGTTCATGATTCAGTTATAGTGACTCACACTCGGCTGTTTGCATTATAGATTGTTTGCACAAAAACAAATGTTTATCTTATGTCGTGGTATCCTAGTAACACCTGACTTCTATCTTCCTGCAAACACATGTAGTGGCATGTACACCAGAACATGCGGTGCGACACCGGAAAACACTCACTCACAGCAGCCAATGGCATCCACCGGATGTGAGCTGCCAATCACTATGGCCGGCCCCCTCACCTCATTCCTGTTGCTATGCTGTCTTTGAAACTATGGTTACAGTAAAGGTTCCTGTAGGCAGCGTCTCTCTCTCTGTATGGACTTAACGCATGTGTCTGGATGCATTGGCAGCATTTACTCTGCTAAATGCTGTGCAGTGTTACACTGAAATTTAATCTCTGCAAATCTATACGTTGTGAATATTATCTGTATTCTACATATACACATTATAGACATGCACATTCAAATTTGTAGGGATCACAAACGTAGTATTATAAATGTAGCCTGCAATGTAGTTAAACAAATGCTCCTAGGTCGCTAAACCTCACTATTAGTCACTGGACTAAAATTGGTCTTGTTTTAGCCTGCGTTTAAGAGTGACGTACCTGATGTGTGTCCCAACAGACATGTGATGTGATTTTTGGACTTTGAAAAGGAAAGCCTTCTGTGTTCTCTGTCTCTGTCTCTTCTAGTTTCTATACTTCCTGCTGTTTTAATGAGCATGTGTAGGAGTGAAGCCGACACACTTCAGTCACGACTATGAAGATCACACACACACACACACATGCGCAGTCCACCACCCACTATCTCTTCTCTCTCTATACATATAAACATGTTGAATGTCTAAAGTGCAATACATACATTTACAGTGAAGCAGTTTCATTTCCTATTTGTTTGTAATAGATCTTCTGTATTTTTCATGCTTCAGGACATTCAGGTGTGTTATGAGAGGAAGATAAACCCGATGAACTCTTTTCCACGGTGAGTAAACTGCCTGAGAACCTGTGTGGTGTTCAGAGAGATAGATGTGATGCAGATAGATAAATCAAATCCTGATCCAGACAGATGTGCTCAACTGAAGCGTATTCATTATTCAAGGTTATTGACCAGCTTTTTATATTGAATATTGAAAGTCAGCATGAAGTAATTGAACCCCGTTTATTTTCATTCAATACATGTTCTTGGTCTTATTTTTCTTTAATAAGTGCACATTATTCCAACAAAGGTGGCTAATTATTTTAAAATTAAAATTTAAGTCCTGTCCTACATTTTAATAGATTGCATTAGTGCACTCTTTTTCAGCACGGTTGGTTCCGTAAGAATTTTTGAATTCATTTTTCCAATCGGGATTTTAAAATAATCTTTTTTAAAGAGTTATAAGCCATGAACTGAACCAAACCAACCAGCTTTGAGGTGAATCACTTTGATTTGAAGCAAGAAAGTTTTTGAAAATCTGACAAAGGCACAAGACTACAATCCCATGAAGCATTGCGAACAGCGTAATCGAATTAAAAATGATGGAGAAATATAAAACTACTCATTTAGAAATGTTGATTATAGGTATAAAAATAATAGATTTTTGCAAAATATGCATATACAAACATTTAAGTATTTTGAGAGTGTAGGGAGACTCGATTACATCATTCGCAGTGCTTTATAGGAATGGGCGGAGCTATTTTGACACATGTTGCTTTTTCCGACTCTGATTGGTGGAATTTTCAGTACAGCATCATGGGTAATGTAGTTTATCACCAGGAACTGCACTGTTAAACATGATTATTTTAAAAATAAGCTGAAATAATGTGGGCTGACGGCTTCAGCAGACGCAAATACCATCGATTAACAACCTCGTAGCTCACAGTAAGGCTGACTTTAAAGGTTTATAATCTCCTTATGGAGAAAATTAATGTAGTTTTTACTTCTGGAACCCGACCATTACACTCTATATAGTTTTCTTACAGTCATTACATTATGGCAAAGTAAAATGTGTTGCAAACAGCATTTTATGATGACTTTAAGGATGCATTCATGGGCTACAAGCTACACAATGTCATAGATTTGTGGATCTAACTTAGTGCTATTTGTGCTTCAGATCATGTGTCTTGTTGAGGAGAGGTGTGCTGTTACTTTACTAAGTGATCTGATTTACTATTTCCACCTGCTGGAGGATGAAACAGGTGGAAAAAAAACCCCCACTAAAACACACCTAGCAGCCACTCACATCAACATTTTCTTCAACAAATGTACAAATCCAGTTCCTATAATTTGTTTTGTTTTTTTCTGCCTTGTATTTTATTTCCAGAACTGTCTCGGCTAGCAAACTGCATGTAAATGGCTCTGCCGGGCAGGATGCATCCGATAATTCAGTTGATTCAGTAATATGTTCTTTGATCACCCTTCATTCATATGAATGTGCAAAGTTTGCACTCAGGAGGACACAAGGAGGGGCCGGTTTATTGGAGTGTGCAATTGATCGTTGTTATTCTTTTCCGAAACAGGCCATGCATCCTGCCAGGAGATATTTTAGAAGAGCACAACATGGATTCAGGAGTTTAGATGCGACGCAGCGAGAAGTATGCAGTGCTGTAGGATGAGAATGGTTTCTCCCTTCACCTGTGCCTCAAGTGGTTTGCCCCACTATTCAGCCAGCCTACCCTGAATGAGTCATCCTGCTCTTCCCTGATTGGCCGGTCGGGATCCATCCCGAGGGATTGCCGTGCAGAAAGCTGCCGAGGCCTGACTTCATTCACAGAAACGTCGGTATGCCCGTCTGCCTTTCCATTCACAGCCAGCCCAAAACATTTTCCCTCCACAGCTCCCCAGCATCCTCTCTTCCTCTCCTCAGCATCTCTTCTGCATCTCCGTGACAACACCGAGCGAGGAGCACTTATAACGCTTTTTTATTTTTTTATTTTTTTGCTTGCTTGTTTGCTTTTGTCTCAGTGGAGAAGACAAACCCCTTGCTCTCACTCTCTCTCTCTCTCTCTCTCTTTCTTTTCTTCTTTCTTTTTTTCAATTCGCAGGCAGGCAGGAAAGCGAGACGCTGGGAGGGACTGCAGTGCGTTAGCCGCAGCGTTACAGAAGCTTGTGAATGACTGCCGCTTCCCTGTCACTAGCTCTTCTGGACATTTTACATGAATGGCTCTTTTTCTGCTGCCTTAATGTCATGGGCTTCATCCCGTTGGATGCTTTTTAATGGGGCTGGGAGATCTGACATCACTATTTACGGTTGTATCCTTGCTGAATCCGGATGGCGTTTTAGTGAGATTGAATCTCGACATTGTGTATTTGAGAGGGATGTTTAATTATTCAACAAAGCTCATTCAGAAGCAAAGCTTGGCTTGTTTTGCCTTCTGTAGGGGGGGATATTCGAGTGCCCGTGTGGATAGATTGATGCCGATGTTTCGTAGTATGTAAGGAAGAACGAACGTGACAAACAAAGAGATAAAGCCGTATTGGTCTTGTGATTTAAATTTGTGCACGTTTTAAACTTGCCGTTAACAAAAGCTAGGCAGAACGCGGTTGTGGGGGCGAAAGGCGAACGCATTCAAATATATTTAACCCTGATGTCATTTAGGTAATTTGCTAGATTTGTATTTATTTTTATGTCACAGTCATGTGCAATCATTATGCTTACTTTTCATTAGAGCACCTTGCTTCTGAATGAAAGTAAAACCACAATTGTATGTATGACAAATTAGCGATCGCCATGCACACCGACTCGAGTTTCATTCTATGTGGCGTACATGTGACCGACCGGTACTCTAATGTGATTTTTGCATTGAATTATGTGAGCAAATTATGACTGTTTTTGCATCATTTTGAGTAGTTTGACTCATTCATTTTGACTGAGCTCGGATTTCAGTGATCTCTTTATAGCATCTTTTTCATTCTATTTATCCGTTTTCACACAAACTGAATCAAAGCAGGAGGCGTTCCTATAGACAGGGCAAATTTTGCGAATTGATTGGTTCTACCGAGCAGTAAGTGGGAGTTTTTTTGTAACGGAAAGTGCTCTGCAGTGTAGAGTGAGTCTTTTGTTGAGAAGGGTCTCTCTCTCTCTCTCTCTCTCCCTCTCTCAGAGTGAGTCATGCATGTTCAGGGATCTGCCAGGATGCGGGGAGAGAGAGAGACATCTCTTCACTAGAGATCTGTCTCTCTCTCTGCCATCTCTGGCCCTCTGTAGAGGAGTGACCTCGCGCTGCTTTTCTCTCATCGTCCTCTGTCTCCATGGATTCGGCGTTTTGTGGTTTATTTTTGGCCCCCGAGTTGCTGCTGCGTGGCGTCGGATTTTCCTGACGACCACCCGCTCCCTTTCTTCAAACCCCTTCGAGGACGCTTTCTCAGCTCCAGCATGCAAAAGATGTGGACGGTCAGCTGGGAGTTGGATGTGTCCGTTCGTGTGTAGGCTGGCATACCGAGGGGAATGCTTCACCGTGCTAAATACAACCGATTCCGGAATGAGTCAGTTACGTCCGTCGATGAGCTTCTGCACGGTCTCTCCATGAACGCCAAGGTCTCGGCCGTCCCGCCGCCGCCGCCGCCCGTGGGCGACCCTCCGTACGCCCCTCCAGCCGACCCCGAACCCTCGGAAGAGTCGGGAACCTTGTGCACCCTCATCAACAAAGTCTCCAACCTGAAATTCGCCAACTCCTCCGGTCTGCTGGGCATCAAGGGCCTGCCGTCTGCCGTGAAGGACCTGGCCGTGTCCAAACTCCAGGGAGGAGCATCAGGAGGCGGATCCGGCAGCCCAGGCTCGTCTTCAGCGCCTCACGCCCCGCTGGAGCCCGGCTTCGTGAGCTCGGGGAAGAAGTGCAGGATGGAAGAGTCTCAGCCTGGTGGAGGAGAGGGATGGAGTCTGGGCGGGACGGGCGGGCTGGTGAACAAGCCGTCTCGTGGATGGCTGCACTCCAGCGAAAAGATTTCCGGACCTGGAGTGACGTACGTCGTTAAGGTAAGATCCAAATCCTTTCTCTCTTCTTGCATTTCCCTTGTTGTTCTGTGGTCTTTGTTTCCGTGGTGTGCTGGTACAGAGGGATTATGTGTACGGTTTGGAAAAGTGTAGGTCGCCAGTTACGTTCACAACTGACCACTAAAGCACAGGCTGTTCCGCCACATACAGTACCATGCATGTTTACATGGCATCTGTTGCATTAATGCATGCATGTGGAGGTGGGCGGTATGAATGTAATTGTGTTATTTCATTTATATCACAGAAACAGTATATAGAGTGATGTATAAATAAATACAAACATCTATGCTTTCACTATTTCTTATATCACTCTCTGTTCTGGACAATGTTTGAAACTTTGTATTGTTAGTGGTTTTGCCTATTGTTTAATCATGCAGTAACGTCTTTAAGAATTTAAAATCTCATTAGAATCTTTATCATTAGAATTTAGAATCTCGTTTTATTTGTTTTCTTTGTTCTAGTTGGAACTAAATGGACTCAAATCAAAAGATGAGTATGCATAACAAATGGTTGACATTTTATAGCACGTCTTGAGTTGAGAACAAAAAAGTCAGACTAATGTTATCAACACACTTGATTTAGCATCAGTTGTCAAAAAATGGCCAGTTGCAAGTGTAATGTTGCCCAAACCTGAGAACAAGATATATATTTTTTCGTATTCCTCGTTGTATGTCATATTTATTTATATAGCGCTTTATACAATACAGATGTTTCAAAGCAGCTTCACAGTAATAAATGTTGTAAAATTCATCAATTATATAACAACTGTAAAGCAGCTCTACAGAAGACAATAGTCTCGTTATTTTGCTCAATTCAGTTCATTGTTGATGTAGTGTTGATCCAATAGCAGTGTTGATGTTGTATGTAAATAAGATCAATCAGTACTGTCCGATCATAGCCGTGAAACTCTATTTAACTCGGTATATACAGTATAGCATGCAGCCACATTTCTGCCATCACAGCCCTTCATGCATGAGAATATATTGATGGTGTTCCGGTTGTCCGTGCGACCGCTTTTTTTCTTACCTCCACAGATTTGATCTATTCAAATGAACTGCAAGTTTATCACATCAAAAGGGAAGTGCATGCAAATGGCGTAACCACGGCGACCAGTTACCAGACCAGGGGGACGTTGTTCCGGCTACAGTTCTGTTACTGTATCGTCTCCGGGGACCATGACGCGTTGCAAGACAGAGCTGTTATTCTTGTCCACATCTATATGCAAAGACAAACATGATAACTGATCTTTGATTTGTGCACGTACGCCACGCGTCTCCTGTGCATGTGGCACCTGTGCTCTGTGCATTTCATTTAAAACGCTCCCACATATATTTATCCCGGGTTCCAATGGTCAACAACCCTGGAAATATCATTTTGAATTAGTGATTTTCAATGAGTAAACTCTTGAAAAGTAATGGAAATTTCTGTAGTGCATGTACATTTTTCCTGCATACATTAGCTTTAGAAATACTCCTTTTCGGGTTATTCGCAGACATTTTTTTTTGTAGATGTTTGTGCATTAATAAGTGCATTAGTTCTAACACATTTTAGTTTGCATTATAGATCATGCATATTGTGCACTGACCTCGGGTCTTGCAGTATCATGTATTTTAAGCGTATCATCTAATGTGTTTGTGATCATATAAGCATGTTCTCGGCCTCATTGAGCTAAAGGTGACTCTGATTCGTGCGGGATGAATCATACATTATTCCCTTCTAGCTTTTTCCCTTCTGAATTGTCAGTTGCCGTCGAGGCAAAACACGAACCGTCGACACGATTGAATTAGATGATGCAAACCAATGTGCAATGGAAGGGAACTAAATGTGTTTTATTTGCTTTATTATCATTGACCAAGGTCTCTCAAAGCATTTATTTCTAGTTTGTTGTGCTTTTCGTAAGAGTTAGTTGGTAAAAGTTGGCAGCTTCAATAACAAACCCTTCCGGCGTCCCTTTGCAGGCTGAATGTGTGTTATTCTTTACAGTTCACTTATTGAGTGACCCTGTGCATGAACGCGCACACACACACACACACACACACACCATGCTCCATTTCACTAAAAGGACAGCTGCTGACATTGACTGGACAGCCTGCTTCTCAAACACTACCAGCGTTCTGACAGACTACAGACTTTAGATACGGCCTTTGCTTGATTTATGGGGTTAAGTGAAAATTTGTGCACTTAATTTATATTTATTAAAAGCAATAAGGCACTTGGGTTACAGTAAATATATAGTGCATGTTCAAAATTGTTGGCAGTTTAGTGTGCCAATGTGTGTGTGTGTTATTCTGTTAAGCTGTGTTGATATTTAGCCGGTTTCATTCTCAAGTGTGAATTTGAAAGTCACATAGAGCAATATATACGAGATAGCAAGTCTTGGCTGCATCGGCATGATTGTTTATATCCTCACAAAAATGTGAAAAACTACGTTATCGCACGGCTATATATACATATATATATATACAGGGTTTCCGCGGGGTCTTAAAAAGTCTAAAAAAAGTCTAAAATTTCAAAATCACAATTTAAGGCCTTAAAAAGTCTTAAATTTGCTGAAGTATTGTGTTCTAGGTCTTAAATCGTTTTAAACAGGTCTTAATTTTCCTTACGTCCATGTAAATCTCATTGAAATGCTCCCGCAGCGCTTTGGGATGTTTTTTTTTTAGTCCGTGGTGTTGTAGTTCCTTATTTCGCTAGTCCAAATATAATTTGCTGTATTACGACTACAAAATAGACCAACATGCAACAGCCAACAGCTTTCGTGTTATTGGCACGCGTGTCAGATACCACAGACAGATGTAAAACGGATTTTATTCAGCTATGGGGAAGTGCAAGTTTAGCGATACTTGGCTTGAAAAATCTGAATTTCGTGCTTGGTTAAAGCCAGTTGCAAACAACGTATTTGAAGCCTACTGCTTCTTATGCAAGAAAGCTATTAAATTGGGAACGTTGGGTGTACGGGCGCTGGAGTCACATGCAAAAAGTGATAAACATCTAACTGCTGTGAAGGGTCTCCATCAAACGACAGTCTTGTTCTTCCAAGTATCTGGCGGCTCCAGCACTTCTTCTACACTGCCTAGGCGAAGCCCACACAGTAGCTATGCAACTCCCGCAATCGACCTCCGTGTTGCTTTTGAATCAGAGCCAACACTAAAAGCGGAGGTGCACTGGGTTCTCCACACGGTGACAAGACACCAGTCCTACAGTGCGAATGAGGAAATCGGGGAATAGTTTCAAACGATGTTTCCGGACTCTGACATAGCTAAATCCTTCAGGTGCGGGAAAGATAAAATGACCTACATTATGCGCTTTGGAATAGCGGATTTTATGAAAACAGAACTAATTTCCAAAATCACGGGACCGTTCGTGCTGATGTTCGACGAAAATACTATGTTCAGTTTGAATAAATTAAATTACTTTGCAAGTAATTTTGAGACGCGTTTCCTTTGTACGTTATTTTTTATGTCGTGATATAGGTCTTAAATTTCATTCATACTGGTCTTAAAAAGGTCTTAAAAAGTCTTAAATTTGACTTTGTGAAACATGCAGAAACCCTGTATATATATATATGTATTAGATCCACCTTTATCCGCATACACAATATACTCATGTAAACTGTAAAGCAATATTTGTTTATTTCGTTGCAAAATGTAACTACATTGTCGCCCAGCACTTTATATAAAGATAGTTATGTGAGAATTTCCAACTGTATCCGCATACATACAGTATGTACTCATGTAAAGCGATATATAGCAAATCTCAAATGCTTGATTGTTTATATCATCATCACGAAATGTAACTCTATTATCGCCCAGCTCTAATCTGCTAAATGTGACTGTGAGGCATGAAGATAAACATTAACAATTTTTTATTTAGCTGCTTTGAAATTTGCATTGTGAAAAGTGCTTTATAAATACATTTGATTTGACTTGATTATCTTGGCATGTTACTATATAATAGCCACTTTGTCTAATACAATCAGTCAATTAGCTTCCGTCATTGTATTTAGCCAAATTCTGTTTGCCAAAACATTGCTCTGACTCATCGTCCGCTTCCGGCCTCATTTCCTGTCTGCGCTTTGAACCGTACACCAGTGAGTTAATCTGGACTATTAAGAACAGAGGCAGTAAGGAGCTAGTTTTCCATGAACCCCTGGAGTAACCGTAACTAACCGGCCTTGAATCTGACGCCGTTAGGCCGGACAGTGGGTGAGACGGTTCTCAGGTGGGTTACTGCAGGTGAGTCATGCATTTAGTCAAGGAAAGTTGTAGTGAGACTCTCGACGAGTGAGTCATAGGGCTCTGAGAGATCGGCGAGGTGACGGGCTGAAATAAGCAGAGATGTGCTGATGCATGATGTCACTGTTTATGCATGATGTCATCGACTGTTCTCATGCGCAGCTCATTTGTAATTCACTGCTGGCTGTTTTTATATTATAATTATAGAAGGATTTGATTTATTTTTATAAATATTTTATTTTAAGACTTTTTTATATAGTCCATGCAGGGTTAGGATTTTGTGTTTGAGATGAATCCTTAAAGCTGTCTTTTTTCTTTCTTTTTTTTTGTAGTTGATCACTTTTTATTTTATTTTATTTTATTCTTTTTTTTTGTGTGTGTCCTGTCCTAGGGTTAGGGTTTTGAGATTTTTATAGTTAAAATATAAAATGAGGTACATCGTTTGAAGTTGAAGTGGGTTTTTTTCTGTTTAATTTTTCTTTTTCTTTTCTTTTTTTTTATTGAATATTTTAAGAGTTTTGAGCTTTTTATAGATAAAAGAATATCAGATGAGTCCTTGAAGCTAAAGTTGTCGATTTAGTTTTTTGCTTTTTGTTGGTGATCACTTTTTTATTTATTTATTTTATTTTATTTCACTTATTGAATACTTTCTTATATAGTCCATGCAGGGTTAGGATTTTGTGCTTGAGATGAATCCTTAAAGCTGTCTTTTTTCTTTTATTTTTTCTTTTATGCTTTTTTTGTGTGTGTGTCCATGTAGGGTTAGGGTTTTGAGATTTTTATAGTTAAAATATAAAATGAGGTACATCCTTAGAAGTTGAAGTGGGTTTTTTTCTGTTTAATTTTTCTTTTTCTTTTCTTTTTTTTTATTGAATATTTCAAGAGTTTTGAGCTTTTTGTAGATAAAAGAATATCAGATGAGTCCTTGAAGCTAAAGTTGTCGATTTAGTTGTTTGCTTTTTGTTGTTGATCACTTTTTTATTTATTTATTTTATTTTATTTCACTTATTGAATACTTTCTTATATAGTTCATGCAGGGTTAGTTTTTTTATATAAGTTTTTATAGATTAAACAATATGATATGAAGGGTGTAATATTTCAGTGTCAAAATGCTTTTTTTTTCTTTTGCAGTTAATCGATTTTATTTTATTTTAGCATAAAATGACAGACTGAAAAAATGACTCTTTTATGCTAAAATAAAAAAATTAGAACAAATCCACTCACTCCTTATCCAACAAATGTGTTCAAGTGAGTTTGTGAAGTCATGTGATGAGATCAGACATGATAATGCCGTGGTATATAGAGCATATCACATCCGATGAGGGACATTGTGTGAAATCACAGTCTGTGATTTCGAGAAATTTGTGGAATTTGTTGTTTTCCTGAAGAAAATGTTTGATTGTGTGTCTGCACATGTGAGCTTGGCGTGTGTGTGTCTTTTGTATCTGGATATGTGACATTAGTCAGAAGTGGTGTGTGTGTGTGTGCGTGCGTGTGTGTGTGTGTTTAACAGTGCGTGACTGTAGACAGGCAGATTATAGTATGAAAGGAATAGTTACATCAAAAATGAAGATGCTGTCATTAATTACTCGCCCTCATGTCGTTCACAAACTGTACTTATTAATATTATTATTTGCTGTTATTTTATTGAATGCAAAAAGGGAGTTTTTGAAGAATCTTCATACAGCTCTTGTATGACCACAGACGGTAAAAAAAAAAAAAAAAATGGATGACACATTTCCGCTTTAGAAAAATGCCAAAATATCCCAGGAAGGAACCCCCTGCTAATCTCCACTTCTGGCACAGAGAGGCCAACATGAGCCGTGTTAAATGTTTTCTGAATATTTAAACTGGAAAATACAAGACTAGGAGCATTTATGAAGAAATTAAATAGCATTTATTTTGATATCATGTTAACTTTAAAGCGGTCATCACAAGCCATGTTTCCATCCACCTACTTTTATGTGAATATGTGATATTGCATAAAAAATGCTGAATGGAAACACCAAGATGCAAGAAAAACTAAACTATATTTTTTTATCTAATAAGAAGACATGCGCATAAACTACGATGGAAACACATTTACTGGATGCACAACAAAAACCTCACGTGACTTTGCCACAGCAGAAGCTGTGATTGGATAACTGGACTAACCAGCGGACCAATCGCATCGCACAGCATCTCAAACGTTGGTTTGGTGGTTCTGAAATGCCCGAGCCAAAGTCTGTCATCAGAATGATTCGGTTTAATTCCCTCCCAGAAGCGTGTCACATGTTTGGGTTCCCAAACACCAGCATCCGAACGCAAGATATCATGACGGCGTTTATTGTGTTTCATCTGCCGTAAGTCATTTATGATGACAGTGGCTTCCCCCGATTGCAGCAACTTCCATTTTTAATACAGATATTTTGCGCCAGGAAGTGATGTTGTTGTTCTCTTGAACACATGGAAACGTTGCTTTATTGGCAAATGTTTTATGCAATATTCCAATTTTGCAGAAAAGTTAAATTTGCAACGTTGCATACAGTTGGTTTGCATATTAATAAGGCACTTTATCACACACGGGCAATGACAATATCTAGTTTTAAGGAATATGTGATTATCAGCTGGTCTAATCTCGTTTGTGTCCTTTCTTTTTCAGTATTTGGGCTGCATTGAAGTCCTCCGGTCCATGAGATCCCTGGACTTCACCACACGATCACAAATCACACGGTACAACAACTCTCTGTCTGTCTACTAATGAACAAGTGTAAGATAGCCACAAACTCGTCCTCTTGTGTTGTACAAGGAATACTGGGTAATATTAGCTGAAATAGCATGCATGGATGATTCACACTCTTCCAAAGAAAGAAGTTTATCATGTCATACTGGCACCTTTAGTAATATTTTTAATGCATTATGAATGGCATTGACTGCCGATTGGAATCCATCCTGCTTTAAAGAGTTTGAGGATTTAAAGCGCCGGATGACAAAACTGCATCTGGACACTAATATAGTCATCGTTATCTTTATAGTTATTGTTCTTGGTGTGAAAAAATAGTAATTAACAGTAGTGATCGACCGATATATCGGCCGGCCGATATATCGGGCCGATATTTGCGGTTTTTACGTGTATCGGAATCGGCCGATATGCGGCTGCTGCGTTCGCCGATAGTTTTTTCCCGGCATTATTTATAGACAGGCGTCCACAGGCAGCTCTGTGCTGCTGGAGACGCTGCAGTTCACGTGCAGACCCTGCACTGTCCCTCCCCCACTAGCAGAGTGCAACCTGCGCTTCAAGATAACGGTAACTTTTAAACTTTCAAAGCATCTTTTAACTGTTTGACTGCTGAAATATTGTCAAACACTTTGAAAATGGAAACACGTTGCTTTATAACTGTTATGTGGTTGCAACTATATAGCTAAGCAAGTTTGTGGGTCCAAATGGAAAACGCGAATGACTCGTCTATAAAACTGCTTGCTTGCCATTGTATTTAGGGAGCTGCAAATAGCTGTAGGCTATCCGTTCAGTATGCATTAGGGCTGTCAATGAATATTCTAAATACGAATACCGGTATATATTCGAATAGTTTAAAAAAAACTGAATTTTGAAGGTGAAAATTAATATTCGAATGTGGAAAAACACGCCCGCGGTAGCAGACTAACGTTACCACAGCACAGCTCGCTCGGAGCGCTCAGTGTCGGTTCTATGTACTGTGAAACTTCAATTAATGTATTTGTTTCAATCACTGAATGAAGTCTGCTATATACCTTAAATTGCTTGCACAAAACTCTTGATCAGCACTCAACATTTGTTTGTTGTTGTTCATTTAAACCGGTATGCGCGGAGAGCGTGAGGGTGAGTGCGAGAGAGAGAGAGAGAGTGCGCCTGCGAGTCCGGGCGAGCCAGAGTGAGCGCTGCGGTCTTGGCCATTAGTTGATTTACTCGTTTTTTTTTGTAGTAATACGTTGTCAAATATGTTTAAACTCAAATAAGCTACTTAATACTAGTAGTTATGTCTCTTTGTATTAATTTGTCCTGTTATTGACGTAATGCGCGTCATTGACCAAATGCACGACGATATGCTCAAATATGTTTTTTTAGAGGGAATATACAAACGCCATTTGAGCAATTTTGACAGCCCTAGTATGCGTACGGTAGCTGTTACGAACACTGGTCATAGGATTAAGTAATACCAACATTGTTCCGTGCTTTTTGTGGGAGATTTATTCAGCGACCACCTGGCTGAGGTTTGGACGCGTGTGGTGTGTGTCTCCCTCGCCATCGCAGTGATATTAGAGACTAGACATGCTCATTTTATTTTATGTAGAAAAATTTAAACCATGGCAGTAAATAGTTCGTTACTTTTAAAATGAAGTACAGTGTGCACTGTGTACTTTATTATGCTGGTTGCTACTGTGTGCAATAGTGTAATTATTTTATTTATGCTTAAATATTTATTTTCAGCAGTGAACTTTTTTTTGTTCTACCTCATGTTTTTAATATTTGTTAAATATTGTTTATCTACTTGTTCTTGTTCTACCTCACATGTTTTTACTATTTGTTAAATATAGATTTTTTTTTACGTTAAATAAATGTTACTTTTATTAAATTGAGACCTGTAACATTTGTTAACATCATGTCATTTTTATGATGTAAATTGAGGGAGCAAAATGTATCGGCTCCAAATATCGGCTCAAGAAAATCGGCAGCCCGTATCGGTCATCGGCTAAGGCTGATGGGAAAAAATCGGTATCGGCACTAAAAAATCCATATCGGTCGATCCCTAATTAACAGTAGTGTTTAGCTTAGGATTTTGCTATAAAAAAATTGATAAAATTACTGTGTTCTGTAACTTAGGGTGCAAATATCAATGAATATTAATAATCACAAAAGAAAAAAATATGCACTCATTTTCCTCATTTACATTTGTTTTTTTACAATTTATTTTATAAATAAAATTATGTAAAAAGATTTAAAAAGAGGTGCAAATATCAATGAATATTAATAATAAAAAATATGCACTCATTTTCCTCATTTAATTTTTTTTTTATATTATAATTTATTAATTTATTTTATAAATAAAATTATGTAAAAAGATTTAAAAAGAGGTGCAAATATCAATGAATATTAATAATCACAAGAAAAATGCACTCATTTTCCTCATTTAAAAAAAATATTTTACAATTTATTAATTTATTTTATAAATAAAATTATGTAAAAAGATTTAAAAAGAGGTGCAAATATCAATGAATATTAATAATCACAAAAGAAAAAATATGCACTCATTTTCCTTTTTTTTTTTTAAATATATTTTAAATTTATTCATTTAATTTATAAATAAAATGATGTAAAAAGATTTAAAAAGAGTTGCAAATATCAATGAATATTAATAACCACAAAAGAAAAAATATGCACTCATTTTCCTCATTTAATTTTTTTTTTTACAATTTATTTTATAAAGAAAATTATGTAAAAAGATTTAAAAAGAGGTGCAAATATCAATGAATATTAATAATCACAAAATAAAAAAATATGCACTCATTTTCCTCATTTAATGTTTTTTATATAATTTATTAATTTATTTTATAAATAAAATTATGTAAAAAGATTTAAAAAGAGGTGCAAATATCAATGAATATTAATAACCACAAAAGAAAAAATATGCACTCATTTTCCTCATTTACATTTTTTTTTACAATTTATTAATTTATTTGATAAATAAAATGATGTAAAAAGAGGTGCAAATATCAATGAATATTAATAATCACAAAATGAAATAAATATAATAATCTGCACTCATTTTCCTCGCTTTTTAAATATATTTTATTTATTTCTTATAAATAAGATTATGTAAAAAGATGGACAAAAAAGAGTGCATCATTATATTTTTCATATCTTTTTGTCTTTTTTGACTATGAAACACAACCAAAGGTATTGATTATTTTACTAGTTGTTTGTCCAAATGAATCAGACTCTCCAATGCTACACATGAAATGATATAAATTGAAGACAATAGACGGGAGAGAGCATTTTAGTTGAGCGTGTTTAGTTTTCTCTTTTATATTATTTTTCTTATGTTTATGTATGAATATTTATGTGTTTGTTGTTTTGCTACTAGATCAGAGTTAATTGCTTTTGTACGCTGCTTTTTAGTTGCTTTAACGGTTACATCACAGTTAATGGCTCCCGTGTGGCGTTACATGACTGTTATCAGCTCTTTTATGGCACTTTTATGTTGTTTTTTCTTCTTTATTTGCACCCGCTGCCAAACACTCATTTATTGTTGCTAAAATGAGCGCATGAGATGTGAATGTAACCCATCCATGTGAGCTGCTGCTGATGAGTCATTGCGTAACATTAGTGTAGAGGCAGCAGATCGGGTCCCAGCGGACGCTGCTTGTTTATTGAACGCTGGGCTGTGTGGGCCGATCCTCATACAGACGCTGGAGATGACATGTCATATCCTCTTTTCTGCCTGACTTCCTGCTCTCTCTGCTGTAGCGTTCGCACGAACACACAACACATTGCCGACCGCTCTCTGGACACAAAGACGGGTCCAAAAACTGCATTCAACAGCAAAGAGGACTGTGATAGTTTATATTTATTGTGCCTTTTGTAAAACATCTCATCAAATGTGTCGAGAAAAAGCCTGCATTTATGTTTCTTGCATTTTAAAATTCTCATTACTGTAATTTTTAAAATCCCAATTCCGTTACTATAATACATATATATATATATTGTAAAGGATTTATACATCATGGTAGTATTTGTTGCATTGCATTTAATTTAATTTATGCTGACTTAAATAAATGTTCTACAGTAATGAGTGTCTAATGAAAATCAGCATTAATTTGAGCATTTAGCATTAAGTTGAGAATTATTTTAAAACAACTTGTCAGAACGCATTACAGAAATAGGAAGATGGTTAGAAATGTGCTTAATTGCTCTGGAAATAATGTCATTGTGCAAAATAATCTTTTTTGGTCTTAAATAGGCTTAATTTTCTTTCTACAATTTATTTTATTTATTTTGTGGTAAATATGAACATTAAAAAAAAATAACCTTATCTATATATTATTTTTAGCAAATGTTTTTTAGATTTAAAATATAAATATTCATTATATTTTTATTTTATGTGAGTTTTATATAGGTTTCTTGTTTATATAATTATTATATTATTATTATTATTTATCAACCATGTATTTATCAAAAATAGTATATTTCCTTTTCTTTCAACCTTGCCAATATATAGTATTTTTAGCATTTTTTATATATATATATATTTAAAGAGTTTTTTTATATATATATACATTTATATCATTTTCTAGTTTATGTTTATAGTGTTATTATTATTTATGTTTGCATTATTTAATATCAACCATCGGCAACCCCAGATATTATCATGAGCGTCTGCTATTGAAAATAATAATAATAAAAATAAATTTTATTTGTATTGCACTTTACATTTTAGCAATCTCAAAGTGCTACAGACCATATAGTAATAGCCCTATAAAAGCAGGTGTGATTGACAGAAACAGATCAAATCTATCCCAGAATGAACAGGTTTGCTTTGCTTCCAAACTGTTTTCACAGAGCATCATTACAGTTTGCTCTCTCTACACTTACTTACTCTTACTCATGTCTTTATATTTTCTGTAATTTCTCTCCACAGGGAGGCGATCAGTCTGGTGTGTGAAGCCGTCCCTGGTGCCAAAGGAGCTCTGCGCAAGAGAAAGGTAGAAGAGAGAAAAGAGAGATGCTTTGTGAGGAGAGAATGTGTGGAAATACGTTAAAGACAATAACTAAATAAGATGAACTATTATACTGCAATCCATTCAGTTTCACAGAAGTAGCAACTCCATTCATATTATCCATAGGAACATTTATTTTGAACGATTAAACCTTTAAAGACAGCTGTACAGTGAGCTACGAGGTTGTTAATCGATGGTATTTGCTTCTGCTGAAGCCGTCAGCCCACATTATTTCAGCTTAGTTTTAAAATAATCGTGTTTAACAGTGGAATTTGTGGTGGAAAAACTACATTACCCATAATGCTGTACTGAACATTACTTTAGTTCAGTCCCTAGTCCCTACTAAAATACTTAAATATTTGAATAAGCATATTTTGCAATATTTAATATATATATATATATACTCAACATTTTTAAAGTAGTAGTTTTTATTTCTCCATTGTTTTTAATTCGATTTTGCTGTTCGCAATGCTTCATGGGATTGTAGTTCTTTCCCTCACTAAAGCCGTTAAGTTCACAGTCTTGTGCCTTTGTATTTTTGTGTGATTTTCAAATACTTTTTTAGCTTCAAATCAAAGTTTTGAAATCCCTATTGGAGAAATAAATGGAAAAAAATACTTCCGGAACCAACGCAGCTGAAAAAGTGGGTCGGCCACTGTTGCAAAGCCTCTTAAAGTCGGATTTCCAACTTGAAAACTCGTGCAGGAAACCACAAGTCTGGTTCTTTTGTGTTGCAATTATTAAGTATTTTTGCAAATTTGATGATGCTTTTATCTGCAGTAAGAGTGTAGTACTCTCTAAATCTATTCCACGTGATTCTGCATATTTCCCTGAAAGATCAGCACAGATTCAGTGTGAGCCTGCATGTTCCCGTTGTTGTCTTAGGAAATGTTCAGTTTTCATGGAAAATAATATGTTGATGGTGCAAACATGATGTTAAAGGCATGTCAGGATGAGGCAAACTGAATTACATACCAGAGACAAGCAGAGTTACAGATGATTGTACATGACAACAGGAAGTGGACAGGAGGTGGAGGTTAGAGATGCAGATCAAGAAAGATTACATGCAAAAAAAAAAAGACCAAAAGCGGGGCATCAGAAGGTTTGGAGTGAGATAATGACGGTTAGAGATCAAATAAAGGCTGGAGAAGGAGAAACGGCATGCTGCAGTGTGTGTGTGTGTGTGTGTGGGCATACTGTTAGCACGGTGACTCATTCTGTGCTGAGCAGCAGTAATCAGGCCTCCTGCCTCCTGCTGTGTGTGTGTGTGTGTGTGTGTGTGTGTGTGTGTGTGTGATGCGCTTTGCTGCGAGGATAGCAGCCGTGGAAAGGGCCGTGTCCGCTTTCAAATGAACAGACGTGTGTGTGGGGATTTTAGGGAGCCTTTAAAGCGCGCTGCGCTGTATGTCCCGATTTAATGAAGCCGCATTGGATCAGTTTAGCACACAAACACAGAATGATGCAATTCATGTGTGTTTTTTTTTTTTTTTTTTTTTTTCTTCCATTAAGTAATATGAATGAAGACTGGAGTGATTTGAATTTAATTAATAAAGAAAAAGCGCATTTTAATAGGCAAAGCATTTACAGCTAATAGTACAAATGGAATATCAATATAATTAAAATTAATCAAATATTAAATAAATATACAAAATAAAATAACAATTCAGAATTTATAATAACAATGAAACAAATTAACATGAAATATATATATTTTTAAAATCATTCCAGTGTTATTATACAATAAGATACTATTGTAGTTTTTTTTATAATTAAATTAAATTATAATTTTTAATTATATTTTTAATTATAATTAAAAATTCCATTTTAATTTTAGTTCAAATTTTAATAATTTTGTTGTATTTTTTTCAATATGTCTATAGTTTTTATTAATTTTTATTTCGGTTTTAGTTATTTTAGTACTTGAAAAATATTTTATTTCAGTTAACATTTTTTATTTCAAACGACAACAAAATAATGTTTTTATGGTTTTAGTTTTAGTGAACTATAATAACCCTGAATCATTCAGAATATATTTAAATAAAAATGTATAATAAAAACTTTAGTTTATGTTTATAGTTTTACTATTATTATTTATGTTTGCATTATTTAATAACCATCGGCAACCCCAGATATTATCATGAGCGTCTGCTATTGAAAAGCAGGCGGGATTGACAGAAACAGATCAAATCTATCCCAGAATGAACAGGTTTGCTTTGCTTCCAGACTGTTTTCACAGAGCATCATTACATTAATAAAAATGTATAATAAAAACTATAAAATATTAAATATTGAAACATAAAATCAAATCAAATAATAACTCAGAACATATGTCATCTTTATATGTGGAACATGATTTTTGGACATTTCACAGTGGATGAAGCAGGACAAATAATTATCAAGCAGTCTAACACCGTCTCAACACCAGACGCGAGCAGCGCCAGAATGAGCCCATTATAATCACTCATGATGCGGCGCGACGTGAAGCAACACAAGTCTTTCAAATGCAACTTCTGACAGGAACGACGAATGGATTTGCAGCGGTCGCTTTGTCGCTTCCGGTGTAGACGGTGTGAGACATTGGCCCTGTCCCAAATGGCGCACTTCATGCGGACTTTCAGTCTCGTGGACTTAAATTGCGCGTGCTCGCCAAGTCTACGAGTCCGTAGGCCGTCCCATTTAGCATTTTAACGCTCTGAAGTGTGCTCAGCAGCGCCCCCTGTGTACCCTTGAAGCGAATAGATGCCGGCTCCACGCACTTTAACTACCCAGGAATCCTTGCGAAAAGGCCAATCAGACAGCGGATAGGAGGAGATTTCGCTCACGGACAATTGTTAACATGGCTGAGAAGAAAATATTTAAGTGTAATTATCATTACGGTTTTTATGACAAGTTTATACAAACATGATCATCGACCAGTGGTTGATGTCTCAAACATAGGCTAATAATAGCGAGCTGAATAATACGATCGCATTATGATTCATTAAATAAATAGAACAGAATGTCAGGGCTTTACTGAGTCATATGTAAACACAACAACAACAGGCAGCATATTTCCCCGAACCTGTAGCTCCTGTCCATAACAACAACCAGACCGTCTTCCTGTTTCCGGCGTGACGATCGAGTCTGTCCCAAAAACACGTCAACGCGAGCGATGCGAGCTACACGCTCCTTTTCATAGTACGCAAGCAGACGCAAGCGTCACCGGCGATGCGTGAAATGCAATACACCGATCGCGCAGCAGGGGGTAGTAGAGTCTAGAGTCGGGTCACGTGATGTTCAGATCAAAATGGCAACTGAAGAGGAGTGCATATTGCTGATTTTACATCGGCGGCAACAAAGGATGTATACGAACAAGCTCGCATAACTTTTCCTCTTCGCCCGCCATTGTATTCAAATCTTCTTCTTCTGTAAACATAATAATATACCTTTTTATGTACATTACTTGCAATGTCGCCCCCACTGACAACGCATAGTATTGCGTGCATCGGCGCGTCGCGTATAAAAAACTAGGATGACACATTTGGCTACGCATCGACGCATAATGGCGGCCGAAGCGTAGCGATGTGTAGCCTTGCGAACGCGTATGCGTAATAATAATAATAATAATAATAATTCATTACATTTATATAGCGCTTTTCTCGGCACTCAAAGCGCTTTACATGGAAGGGGGAATCTCCTCAACCACCACCAATGTGCAGCATCCACCTGGATGATGCGACGGCAGCCATATTGCGCCAGAACGCCCACCACACACCAGCTTACTGGTGGAGAGGAGACAGAGTGATGAAGCCAATCAGTGTATATATATATGGGGATGATTAGGAGGCCATGATGGACAGAGGCCACTGGGCAAATTGGGCCAGGATGCCGGGGTTACACCCCTACTCTTTCGAAAGACATCCTGGGATTTTTTGTGACCACAGAGAGTCAGGACCTCGGTTTAACGTCTCATCCGAAGGACGGTGCTCTTTGACAGTATAGTGTCCCCATTACTATACTGGGGCGTTAGGACCCACACAGACCACAGGGTGAGCGCCCCCTGCTGGCCTCACTAACACCTCTTCCAGCAGCAACCTGGTTTTCTCAGAAGGTCTCCCATCCAGGTACTAACCAGGCTCAGCCCTGCTTAGCTTCAGTGGGCAATCAGTCTTGGGCTACAACGCATCTTGTACCGATGCGTTGACTATGTAAGGGCCCTATAGGTCTGCACTACATGACGTCACCGAAGTGTGGACTCTAAAGGCTGATTTGTACTTCTGTGTCGGACCTACGCCGGAGCCTCTACGCTTTAGACTACGCGTTGGTTTTCATTTATACTTCTGCGTCGTTGTCCGCGTTGACGCGCAATTACACATGCAGAGGGAGCATGAGAAATCCGAGGGAGCGGTTCTAGATGACCAATCACAGCGCTTGCGTTCGCGTAGAATTGACGCATTGCCACATTTTTGGAGAGGTGCACGTCAGGGTACGCGCGCTACACACAGCCTACGGCGTAGCTACGGCGTGAGTTTGACGCAGAAGTATAAATTGGGCTTGAGGAAGTCCACAAGTCCGGAGTGTGCCATTTGGGACAGGGCCATTAGCGATCATCACATATTGCAATAAGGAAATTAAGAAGGATAGTCTGAATGTGTCGCTCTCTCTTTCAGACTCCCTCGAAACTTCTCTCCAGTATTTTGGGCAAGAGTAACCTGCAGTTTGCTGGTATGAGTATCAATCTCAACATCTCCACCAGCAGTTTAAACCTGATGACACCGGACTCCAAACAGGTACAAAAACACACATCTCTCTCTCTCTCTCTCTCTCTCTCTCTCTCTCTCTCTCTCTCTCTCTCTCTCTCTCTCTCTCTCTCTCTCTCTCTCTCTCTCTCTCTCTCTCTTCTCTCTCTCTCTCTCTCTCTCTCTCTCTCTCTCTCTCTCTCTCTCTCTCTCTCTCTCTCTCTCTCTCTCTCTCTCTCTCTCTCTCTCTCTCTCTCTCTCTCTCTGTTGCAGATGAATGATGCTCCTTCCTGTTTCCACAGATAATAGCCAATCATCACATGCAGTCCATATCCTTTGCCTCCGGTGGAGATCCGGTAAGACTTCACAACATCACACCAATGATTCATTCTTCAGCTGACGTTCAGTCTCACGACACTTTATGGCGAATCTCAGAGCGCTCGGGGGGGAAGTGAAGGTGTTTAGCTTTTAATGATTATTTCCCGCCCCTTTAAGACTTCTGTTCGTAAATGACCTCATGACTGGCTAGTCTCTGTGTACTAGTTGTTTAAATGAGATCAAGTTGCTGAATATTGAATAAATATTGATATGTTAAATAATCGTGATGTCATAATCATAACATTTTTATGAATTAGACATTTTTGCCATTTTTAATGCGTAAATGTGGGCGGTCAAATGTGAATGAACTCATAGATGTAATGTCATAAGAATGACATTTTTATTAAGTCACTTTTCGGTTTTTAGTATGTAAATGTGGGAGCTCATGTTAATGAGTTCTTACTTGTGATGTCATGATCATGACAATTAAATTAATTAGAAATGTTTCCATTTTTAATGCGTAAATGTGGGCGGTCAAATGTCAGTCCCTCCAGAAAACCGCGATTATGCGATCGTATTATTTAGTGCATAATCAGCCAAAGTCATTATTTTTTCAAATACGCCGCACTTTCGCCGCATACATTTCCGATTTTCGTGCAAAATATGCGGGGCTTGCATGATTTCATAATCCTCGCATTTTCGTTGCAAAAAAGTTTGCTTCACACGAGAGCAGCCGTTTCCCGCTGTTGCCATGGGAACGTTATGAAGTGACGTAATTACGCGACGTGAACATCATCGAAAAGCTGTAAAACAGGAGCACACTTAAATTTTTTATATTTTATTTATTCATTTTTACAGAAGTTGTAGCATATTCCTTTTGTAAAGCCACAGAACTTGTTTGACTCATCAATGTTTTGTAAGTTTGATGTGTTTATTAAGGTCTGAAATAAAACAAGATGAGAACTGAAATATTCCAGCACTTTCTGTGATGTGATCATAGGAAGTAATAAGAAATGACTCTTTACATTAAGGTAGTTGCCTAGTGAGAACAGGGTGTTGGGGAATCACTTTTTTTCTTCTTTTTTCATCAAACCGCAGTTTTTGCAAGTTCCCGCAATTTCACCGCATAAAATTGCATAAATATCCCGCATATTCCATCGCATTTTTTAAGAAAACGGGCCGCATAATCAAGGATTTTTGCCCGCAACAATCACAAAAAAACTCAGCTTTTTTCTGGAAGGACTGAAATGTGAGTGAGCTCATAGATATGATGTCATAACCATGACAACTGACAAATCAGTCGTTAGTTTCAATCTGCGCAGACTGGGGAGGGGATGAGATGTACAAATACATCAAACTCCTATTTCAGAAGAGCAAGAAATATCCTGTTCTCCATCATATGACGCCTTTGAAGAAACATGCTCATAAAAGCATTAGCTCAGTTTAGGTTTGAATCATGTTCTCTGTCTTCTGTCAACAGGACACGACTGATTACGTCGCTTATGTAGCGAAAGATCCTGTTAACCGGAGAGGTATTACTCCCGTCTTTTCCTTCGCTGATGATTTGTGTGTCATTCTTTTCGGATGTTAAAATACGGTAACGCTTCCTTTTACAGTACAGTACTTACGTGTACTTACAGTGTACTTACCTAGAAAGTACTGGCTAATAAAAGGTAAGTACATGAGGTAGGGGTAGGTTTAGGGGTAGGTTCAGGGTTAGTATGTACATGGGTAACAGGACTGTAAAAGGAAGCGTTACCTAAAATACTTTCTTATGTCCATGTTACTGTTCGGAGACAAGTAATCCCTTCTTATGTTGCGACTTGAGTAACACTGTTTGTTTGAGAGTGTGTGACGTGTCAGCTTCAGAACAGAACTACTTGTTTGACCAGTAGCAAATGAATTAACTAATTTCATAATGGTTCCATAACATTCACAATGATGGTTGGTGCAGGATTGGCGATGCTCTTGTTGATCAACCACAGTTTTAGCTGTACGGCTCCTGAGGGCCTTTTCATTGTGTTCACCACACTGGGCCGCCCTGTAGCGCTACATCCACAAACAAGCGTGATTGATCAGTCCGCCACGGCTGCATTTAGCATCAAAAAATCAATTTCTGTGGCTGTTATATCTTCCTCTCTTTTCATTTCATGGATCTTTTAACTTCCTGTCAGCGCAGAGGCCACGTTTTAAAACTCTTGCTGTACTTTCTGAAGCATTTTTGATATTGTCAGAGGAAAGATCCTGTAATGAACACTTCACAGCGGAGTGAGTCAGCAAATCGCCATCCGTTTCACCATCTGCTGATTTTTAAAACTTCAGCATGCGTGCGTGTCTTATGTGTGTGTGTGTGTGTGTGTGTGTGTGTAGCTGTATGTCAGATTGATTGTTGCTTCATTTGTGTTTCATTTATTTTGATGAATAAAAAACATGTTCATGTCACAGTTCACCCTAAAATTAAAATAAGTAAATTTAGAAATTGTATTTGCATAAGGACAGTGAAGTCTGTTTTCTGACTGTTGCCTGACAATTAAACACATTTATTTTCACTCCAAATTCTCATGATCATAATGCACGGTTAAAGAACTGTAGGTGGTTCGTGAGTACATGAAAAGCTAATTAATTGAATAACTATTAGCTTAATTATTAAATAATAATTAATTGAATCATAAAAAAATTCAACTTGAAATAATCATTTCAAAATTAAACGCTTTCTATGACAATTAACCAACATCAGAGAACCGTGAATATGCAAATGTGTTGTTAAATTATTGAAATATTTTTTCAAAATTAAAAAATCCCAGTTGGAATTCGAGTATTTAAAATCAAAAAGGCTTTATATATATATATATGTTACTGTAATAGTATTTGTACATATTTTTGTACTGCAATACAATTATTTTTAAATGAACATAGGCAGTACAACAAATGCTACCATGATGTACAAAAGCATCACAATTTAAAAACCATTATTTTTTTCGGACTAAACTAATGAGAATTTCAAGGGTTAAATTTGCTATTGTCATTAAATGGCTATGTTTTTTTTGTTTTTTTGGGGGGTGAAATATGACCCATACATGTTCTTGACAGGTTTGGTGAGATTCATCCTGACTGTGTGTTGATTTCTAGCATGTCATATTCTGGAGTGCTCCGACGGTCTGGCTCAGGATGTGATCAGTACGATCGGTCAGGCGTTCGACCTGCGCTTTCAGCTCTATTTGCAGTGTCCATCCAGCAAACCCTCATCCATGCACGACAAGTGAGTCCACACACACACACACACCTTCAGGACTCTGAGCCTGAGGCTGCTTCTACATCTCATTTGTCCTCTCTTCAGGGTTATGAGTACGGACGAGCCCCCGTGGACAGAGGAAGGGGAGGAGTCCGCCGATCATCACTACTACAACAGCATTCCCGGCAAGATGCCGCCACCAGGAGGATTCATTGATGCTAGACTGACCAATCAGACGCAAGACAGCAGCCAGGTCTGCAGCACTAGTCACTCACACACACTCATGCGCTGTTTATACCAGCTGACAGGAAGTGACCTGACCAGGGATCAATACACTCAAGCTCAGTTCGTTCTGTAAATGCAGTACATGTGTTTTGGTAAATAATGAGAGTAAAGGATTATGTTATGATGAAATGTCCATTAAATATCATATTTACTTCTGTAGATAAAAGAAATCAGGTCACTAAAATGAATCAAGGGACTAATTTAAATTGAGGGAACCAAACATATCTGATATTAATGGTAATAATATTTACTTAAATTTAAATTCTATTTACAATACAATTTTGTTATAATATTGAAATGACTGACACAAAACAATTCCAACTTTCCCACTACATAAATAATAATTCAATTAAAATAAATATTATATTTTGTTAAAATATTAAAAGAAACAGCACAAAATATAGAATAATTCCAACTGTCCCACTCCAAAATATATAATAATTTAATTAAAATAATCAAAAAGTAATATTAAATATTGTTATAATATCAAAACCAGCAACACAAAGTACAGAACCATTTCAACTGTCCCACTCCAACATATATAATTAAGTAAAATAAATAAATATTATATTTTGTTATAATATCAAAAGAAACAACACAAAATACAGAACAATTCCAACTGTCCCCCTCCAACATATATACGAATTCTATTCAAATAATAAATATGTAAATATTAAATATTGTTAATATACCAAAACCAGCAACACAAAATACAGAACTATTCCAACTTTCTCACTCCAACATGTATATTACAGTTATCAGTACAGTATTAAGTATTGTTAAAAAAAAAACTCACATTCCACATGATCTGCTTCTTAACAACTTGTATAAACGTTGACATTAGTGAATGACTTCCTATAGTGTGGAGTCTGTTTCCTGTCTGTCAGTGAATGTGACTCCAGCAGGTCAGAGATGAGGAGGTATGATAACTCATATGCTAACTCATATGCTGTCCACACAGGGCGCTGGAGTCGACCAGACATACTACCAGGGCCGACCCATGTTCTTCCAGCAAGGTACAATTCACTTTTATTTTCACATTTAGACCGTTAAAGAGACAACTCGCTTAAAAACCTTTGTGGCAAACCTATATGACACAAAAGATGATATTTTGAAGAATGTTACCAATGTTTTGTTTTTAGTTTTTCAAAATATCTTCTTTTGTTTTTCTGTCTGTGCTTCTCATTTAGGGTCCTGTGACATATACAGTCTCCCTGAGGTCAAAGGTCAAGCCCCTAAAGCAGGAGAAGTCCCCACGTATGTGAACACGCAGCACATTGACACGCAGGTGTTGGCCGCCCTGCAGGGAGAGTCAGAGGCGGCGTCCGATTCGGGCACGACCGGGACAGCTAAAGACAGCCCGAGGAAGGACCTCTTTGACATGAGTAAGAGACACAGAGACTGGAGCTTTCAATGTTGCTGCTACAGCTTCCGATAGAAAAAATAAATAAAAATTGTGCAAATGATTTGGTGAAAAGCAGAGAACAACACAGCCATTCCTTTCAACAACTAAAGAGTAGGGGTTGAGCAGACTAGTCTACTTTAATGCTCTGCCATGACGCTTTAAGCTTGACGTCGACTAGTTGCTGATCACTCATGGCCTATAGAGGGCGCAACAGGATAATAAATCTTTGAAGTCCATGTAACGAGGTTCGTTGTTGTGGGAAGGAGGAGGCGAGAACCGGCGAACAATCAACAGACTTTAATAACAAAATAAAACAAATACAAAACGAAAGTGAAAGACAGCAGCTCCTCACGGACGACTGCTGTCACATATAAAACAAAACGCAACATAAGATCAGGCCTGTTCCTCTCTCACTCTCCACTGTCGTCGCTCCTCCTTTATGACAAATAAATGCATACTCCGAGAGCGCTCCACAAGATATGTTTGATTATGCCATCTGGATGTTCAAAATTGATCGCGTGAATGCATGTTTTACACAGCTTATTGTACATGTAAGTTAATCGCCTTTCTAAACTGCTGCTGCAGTGTAACACACACACACACACAGACAGTAACGCACATATCACGTGAAGATCGCGCACACAGAATCATTCAGTAGCGCAGAAATATATTGTAAACTTAGTTCTGTGATTTATCAATAAAATAGCTTAGAATCTGAAAAGTTCTAGCATATATTTCTTAGTAACTAAAACCCAGAGCTTCACTATTAGTAGAGAGACGGCGTCAGTAGAATTAATTCTCACGCATCATATAAATGTAATCTTTACTGTGCTACTTTATCTGTATCTGATTTAGAAGAGCAGAAATCTGAGAAATATAACGACCCAAAGACAAAAGAACTGATCAGAGTAAGCTGTTATGTAGGAGCGCTGTGTCAATATGCCAGAGCTGAGCACAAGACGACCCGTGTTCAGTCTCAGCTCGAGGTCCAGGCTTATTCGCTCATCAGTGACATCATCAGCGACGACTTGACTTTCATCGCATAAATGTAGTGCTGGGCGGTTTGACCAAAAATTTATATCAAGTTTTTTTTTTTCAAAATTATGCCGGTTTTCCGGTTTATGACAGGGTTTTTTTTTTTTCTTCATGCATAATCAGGTGTTCAAAGCATTGTCTACTGGTTGAGAGAGGAATTACTGCAGTAAATTGACTTAGGATGGTCTATTTTACTGTCATTAGTGAATATTGTAGAATAATTCCACACTAGTAATACAGGTTTGCATGGCCCTAGAAAATTATGCTGTTGTTTACAAATAAGAGCCAGTCATGGTTCTAATGAAGTGAGAAATCAGAATACAAAGACAATTGCAGTCAAAATACAGAACTTTTACTGTGCAAATTTCAAAAAACAAAACAAAAAAAATTTATAAAAACCTCCAAACAACAGACCCGGCTCCTCTTTTTGGCACAAGTTCTTCTGTGTCATGTTCTACTAGTTCTGCAGCATCCATCTTCCCTGTAACGTAACACCAGAGCACTGCTGTTTACCCTCGGCTCGCAGTCGCTGCTTAGAAGTGCAACATTGTAAAGGGTCCGTCTGAAACAGTGTCGCGCAGCGTAACGTTCGCTCCGAGCGTTGTGTAATTAAATACATCGGTATGGCGGTATATTAAAAATGTATATCATAACGAAAATATACACCGGTTTTCGGTATGAACCGGTATACCGCCCAGCACTACATAAATGTCTGAAGTCTTTATAAGTAAATGTGGTTGTCAATCCCAAAAACTGACCGTGTGAACGTAGCCTGTGAGTATCTACTGTATGCATACGGATAAAGTTCAATTTTGCAACTAAATAAAAGATGAGCACATGGGATAACAGGTTTCGTGTGCTCACGCCCTCAGAGCCGTTTGAGGACGCCATCATGACTCAGTCTCCAGCTCCTCCAGCCTCAGAACTACATAAAGCGGCGTCCGTGGATAACTCCAGTCCGCTGCTGATGCGAGCGGCCGCCCTGAGAGCTCAAGAGGAGCTGGAGGACCACGCGTGGTATCACGGCGAGATGAGCCGGCGCCAGGCTGAGAAACTGCTGCTCCACGACGGAGACTTCCTGGTGCGCAAGAGCGCCACAAACCCGGGGTCATACGTGCTGACGGGGATGCACAACGGCCTGGCCAAACACCTGCTGCTGGTCGATCCAGAGGGAACGGTGAGGACTATGCACTACGGCTGTCGAACCAACATTTATTCAGACGCCTTCAACATGTCTCACATTATCACAGTTTATTCGCTATTGTTTAGAAAATGGTAATGGAGGAGTTACTCATCCGCACTCACGATCATCAAGGTGCCAGACAAACAAGACTTAAGATCTCAGAAAATAAATAAACTGTCCGCAAATTTAATCACCAAGCTTTCGGTCAAAAGACCATCCTCAGGGCATACAGACAATAAATGTAACAATCAATTTAACTGCGTTCAAACACATCAGGACAATCAACAGTGATTACCAACACCTGTGAAAGCCAGGTAGGAGAGTTGTAGTCCAATAGTGGGAGTTGTAGTTTTTCTTTAACCTACCCAATAAACTGAGTTATCTAGGTGATTTACACATTTACTCCCCATAGTGAAAATCCCCAATACAAGAAACAAACATAAATACACTTATACAAAAATACAGGCGCATATATATACATATACATACATACATAGATACATGCTTGTAAGAGCATCAGTAAAACCTTCATACCTTGGGTAGGTTAAAGAAAAACTACAACTCCCACTATTGGACTACAACTCTCCTACCTGGCTTTCACAGGTGTTGGTAATCACTGTTGATTGTCCTGATGTGTTTGAACACAGTTAAATTGATTGTTACATTTATTGTCTGTATGCCCTGAGGATGGTCTTTTGACCGAACGCTTGGTGGTTAAATTTGCTTAAAGAATTTAAGTGTGCGGACAGTTTATTTATTTTCTGAGATCTTTAGAAAATGGTAATAAAATATGACAAGAACTCAGAGTTATCAAATCAGTGGATATTTCACTGGTTTTGTCCAACCTTCTGTTAGACTCTCATAAATGAATGAGGTTGAATATCTGTCAGCTGTTAAATTTAACTACACAATTAGATGATACCAATTTAGGTCAACAAATTACCAAGCAATGCTTCATGTTGTTCAGTCTGTGGTGTAAAAAGGTCGCATTAGCAATTAAAGAAAAAAATACTTAAGCAAAACATGGTCAGGTCAAAGTGTCTGAATCATTTTTGGTCCCAAATTTGTATAAATTTTAGTGGTAGTCACTGTATGAAGAATTTTTGGGTATAATAAGTCACAGTTTACTTTATTTTCCTATCCTCACATACATAAATGAACTAAAGTGTCCTGCACCCACTAGGTGCTAAAAACTATATCTGGTGTCTGAATAATTTTTAGTTTGACTGTAAATGAAGAGGCTTGGTCGACCAGATGTTAATTAGTTGGTTGGTCACAGAAAAAAAAAACTCCACATAAAGTGGCAAAGTCCGATGGACAGATCGTTAACACGGCTGATCCATGTGGTAATTATGCCAGGCAGGAAATCCAAACACTCATTGACTTATCACTTTTTAACATATTAGTAGTAGCCTAATGTTAGCCACTCACTCTTACGTTAACCTAGATAAACGTGTGCTATTATTAGGCGCATTTCCAAGTGTTCATGGGGAGTGTGTGTAAGCTAAATTAGCTGCCATTTTTAACTTAACGTGCATTTCTCTCTATAGTCAGCCTCGTCCACTTCATTAAAATGTTCAAAATGTGCACTTAATTTATCTTTTAAAGGCTCATTATGGTTTAGTACACTGCACGGCCAAAGAAAAGTCGCCAGCATGTTATGTGTTCGGCAACAGTTCTTCTAACCCGAACTGATGGAGTGTGTAGCTTTTCATTTCTTAAACACACATGTACTATGAAGGTATGGCAAGCCGTTTTAACTTTTATTCATTTCCAGGATATGAATTGTTGATATCAACAATTACATTTTTTGATATCAACAATTAAATTCTTGATATCAACAATTCAATTCTTGATATCAACAATTGAATTATTGATATCAAAAATGTAATTCTTGATATCAACAATTGTATTTTCACTAGTGAAATGTCACCATAGACTGCCATTCAAAATCAATTGTTGATATCAAGAATTGATTTCTTACTAGTAGAAATATAATTTTTGATATCAATAATTACATTGTTACTAGTAAAAATGCGAATTCCTGAAATCAATAATTAAATTATCACTAGTCTAAATGTCTATTCTTGATATCAACAACTGAATTGCTACTAGTAAAAATTTTCATTTTTGATATCTGAAAATGTATTTCTGATATCAATATTATTTCAGATATCTAAAATGGCTTTCTTACTAGTAACAATCACATTCATGATATCAGAAATTAACATTGTCACTAGTGAAAATTGAATTATTAATATCAAAAATGAACATTGTTACTAGTAGCAATTCAATTGTTGATATCAAGAATAGACATTTCAACTAGTGACAATTTAATTCTTGATATCAAAAATAAAGGTTTTTACTAGTAAGAATTGTATTTCTGATATGTGAAATTGGAATTTCAACTAGTAAGAAATAAATTCTTGATATCAAGAATTGATTTTGAATGGCAGCCTATGGTGACATTTCACTAGTGAAAATACAATTACAGATATCAAGAATTATCATTTTAACTAGTGAAAATGTAAATGTTGATGTCAAGAATTAGCATTGTTACTAGTGAAAATGTAATTCCTGATATCAAAATTGCCATTGTTACTAGTAGAAATATTATTCCTGATATCAATAATTATAATTTTAACTAGTGAAAATTGAATTGTTGATATCAAGTATTCATATCCTGGAAATGAATAAAAGTTAAAACGGCTTGCCATATATGAAGACACATCATAGCCATATTCCAGGATGACAATGTCAAGATTCATCAGGCTCAGATTGTAAGAGAATGGTTGTTAGAATTGTCAATACTTGTTCTTGACCAAAAATGTATGCACCTTTTGATGGAAGTAATTAATGCAAATAAATGTTGTGATGGAATTCATGTGTGAAATGATTCTTCATGCTCCTCACAACCATTATTTCACAGTTTGAGTCTTGATGAATCTTGACATTGTCATCCTGGAATACGGCCATGTTTGTCTTCATACATGTGTTTTTAATAAATGAAAAGCTACACACTCACAAACACATAACACATAACATGCTATAAACATAATAATCACTGCAATAATGATCCAATCATAGACTCTTAAGCATTTGCCTGTTTAAATCCTTTTTTTTTTGGCCGTGCAGTGTGTTTAATGTAGAACAATGTAAGCGATGTTACATATATATACCGTCTCAGCCCTGAAACTCAAACCATTTTCTGATGCTTCCCACCCACCCCCGCAACACCTCCATATATTTAAGTCATTCAATTGATATCATAAACTTGCGACTAGTCGATTATTGGCTGAAATGAACGACTACCAGTAGACCAGGCAAACCTTTGGTCGGACGCAGCTTTACTATTCACCTATAGTTAATTTGACTACGCCTGTAACAGATGTTGCTAAAGTGTCATTTTATCCATGAGAATGAGTTGAAAAATTGATATATATAGTATTTCTTAAAAATACCACGGCTGCTCCTCTGAGCATTGATGTTATAAATATCCCGCATGAAAGCAGCGGGTGCAAACGTCTCCAGAGCACCAGAGAAAATGCTACTATTTTGGGTTCGTTTGTAGTTTCATCAAACATTGAAGTTGAATGTACAACATTTGGAGTGAAAAGTTGAACTTGAATTTAAGAAGTAAATGAGTCACATTAGAGTCACGTGATCCATTTAATCAGGCGCATAGAAATACTGCAATGTATCTTCATTTTACATCATAACTTTACTTTTCTAAATCCTAAAACATTTAAACAAGACAGAAATCCCATATTTCCTCAGGATAAATTGAGTCTCTTCTGCTCACTAAGGCTGGATTTATTTGATCAAAAACAGAAAAAAATTCGAAATATTATTACAATTTAAATTTTAAACCGTCATTTATTCCTGTGATCAAAGCTGTATTTTCAGCATCATTACTCCAGTCTTCAGTGTCACATGATCCTCCAGAAATCACATTTCTGATTATTATCAGTGTTGAAAACAGTTGTGCTGTGGAATATTTTTGTGCAAACCGAGATACATTTTTAAGGATTCTTTCATAAGTTAAAAAAAAACTGCAATATTCTGTAACAGTATAAAATGTCTTTACTGTCATCAATTGAATGCATCCTTGCCGAATAAAAGTATTCATGTCTTTACGTTTAAAAACAGAAGTGAACATGCAAGCGTCTTTCAGTCCAGTGTGCTTAAACTTTCAAATCAAATTTCTGTCTCCTCAAGGTTCGGACGAAAGATCACATATTCGAGAGCATAAGCCACCTGATTGGCCATCACCGTGACAACAACCTGCCAATCGTCTCGGCAGGGAGCGAACTGTGTTTGAAGCAGCCGGTCGAAAGAAAACAGTGACGACACGTGGGAGTTTTCCGAAAACAAACTCTCCGTCGGCGAACACGTGACGGCCGTCAAACTGCTTGACTGTGACGACAGAGGGCGAAAGCGAACCCGATTTATAGAACTGATACAGTTATTTTATTGCGCTGGTTGAGAATCTATATTTTTGAAGAAGACGCTGATGGATTTCGTCGTAAAGTCGGAAGTTTGGAACTCGATCTCCAAGAGGGGATGAGAGGAAAACCCAGATAAAGAAAAAGTATTTTAGAATAAAAAAGTTTTAGTTTTGTCTATCAAGCACAACCGGATTTTAATGTTCGTCGGTAAGAGATAGAAGGAAAACGAAAAGCTGTTTATATTGACCTATTTTAGGAATGTGTCCTTTACTGCAGCTAGTGTGCCAGATCATTTGGTAGCTTCTATCGAATCACTGTTGATTATGCTTTTCAGAGGGAAGATGACGTGAATGTGTTTGCTTTAACAGAAACCACACTCGGACATGCTGCACGTACACACACCACCACGACCAAAACACACACACACACACAACACACACATGGCTTTAAAGTACCTACATTTTTGTATGACGTTGAAACCTGTGGCACTCGCATGACTTAACTTAACTGTACTTGTGCTGATTGTCGGTAGCATCCAGAGCCCCAGCGGAGGAGCTTTTGTGTATGCTCACAATGTTAAATATTTATGCTTCCCAGTATTCATTGAGCTTAGCTCCTTCTTTAAACGTGTCAGAGGTGTGTAGTTGCTCGGTTCGGGGCTTACTTTATACCTTGGATGTTTCTATCGGTTAGGACTTTCATGGTTTGACTGTGGGCTTCACAAACAGACAAATTGGTATTATAATTAGTCTTCTGATGATTATTTTCAATTAAACGGTTCTAAGTGAATAGCACAATCAACTATTTCCGGTCTGATGTGGTTTTGCACAGTCCAATTACTGGATGAACTGGAATATCACTGGATTTTCCACTGTTTTAGACACACGTAAAAAAAACGATTACACCGTAAACATTTCGTTTTGTCTTTAAATCCACATTTCGGATGAATGAAATTTGCATCTGATACAATTACTAATTAGAAATTAGCACCGAGATAATATCATCATGCATAAAGGTGCATCTCATAAAAATGTCAAGAAATTGACATCAAAATCCACACAAAATTATATTTTTGTCAAAGAAAATGAAGCTTAATGTCAAAAAAGCTTTTTATGCTGAATATAATTGATTCTTTTCTTCTTTTTTGGCAAAATCTTTGTGAGATTCACCCTTAAATTCACTTAAATTGTGATTTGCATTGCTATTAAATAGGTTTTGTAGCCTAGAATCAATGATGTGAAGACCTGTGTGCAGTTTCATATATGCTCAGCTGTGGATCTTTTTTCTTTCTCGAAATAGGCCATTTTAATGATTGTTGTTATTGTTTGCATCACTTTAAATATTGTCACTCTCACACAAACACAACACATGATATTTATGTATTGACATTTGTCACATTGGAAATATTGATTTGGAGGCACAGGATGAATCTCATATTTAGTTTTAAATCTTTTTATTTTAAATTATTTACATTTAATTTAATTCTTTTTAAATATTAAAATGAGAAAATAATCTCATATATATATATTTAGTTTTAAATTCTTTTTATTTTACATTTATTTTAAATTATTTACATTTAATTTTTTTTAAATATTAAAATGAGAAAATAATCTCATATCTGTGTGTGTGTAATATAATTTTTAATTATTTTACATTTATTTTAAATATTAAAATGAGAAAGAAACCTCGTACTTCATAGTTTCATTGCAAATTTACAGCACAAAATAAAATCATTACTTTTACATGTGCATATTTTTGTTGATAAATATTATATCACCCTCTACTTTGCGAGTCAAAGTTGCATTATTCTGGTCAAAACTCAAGTGCAAATCAACAGGTTTAGAAAAGAAAGACTAGTTCAGCTTAAACGGCTTCATGACACAAGCTCTACATCTTGAAATGCTGTTTTTAAAGGGCGCTGGACACTGCTGGTGGATTGTATATCAGTGAGAAATCTGCATCTCAAACTCCAAAGTGATTCTGAACACAACATGCATTCACAGATTTCTACTCTGCGAAATGACCTAAGGATTTTCCAGCGGTGGCGACTTTCCCCATTTAAACTGCCAAATCCCAGCCGATTTTCACTGACCTCTTCACATGTTTATCTAAATGACTAATGTTAGGGAAAGATGTTCTGTTACATTATACACAGTAAACTGACTCCAACTAAACAGTGGTGGTGTTACTGTTTTTATAATGCTGCAACACTATCTTAACTAGTCATTCATTATAGAATTTCAAAATTGATTGGCAAAACAAGTTCTGTTAAGGAAAACGTGCCTTTTATCAGTGCTCCAATGCTTTTCTCTTTAAAGTGCAGTAGTCAAAGCTCATCTGTGTTCTCTGATCGCATTCCCCTTCAGCTGTGACGCTCAGAAGATCACAGGTGACACAACCCAACATAAGGTAACTGTGTTCACAGGAATAATCTTTGCTTGTATGACTTATTCCTACTCTTTATGATTGGTGGCAATAAAACAATCAATGTGTGTTACTCTTTGGCTGAATCTCACAGAACCTGTAAAGAATCATAGTTCAAATTCAAAAGAAATAAACAAGAAATTATGTTTTACATCAAGAAAATGTACCCCATTTTTAGGAGCATTGTTTTAATAATGAGCACTCAGTCTGCATTAGCATAACGTTTTAGCATATTAGCATAGCTGTAATGTGAATGTAATCGAAGACTTTAAATCGTGGCAGTATTAGTTTTTTATGCTGATTTCAATTCTTATATATATGTCGTGATGCTTTATTGTGTACTTTAGTATGCACCAATGTTTTAAAGTGGACTTAAAAAGTAAATATAAAGTTGTATAAGTCCTATAGCATGCGCTAATGCTGTAGTGAGATATTCATTCAATGAGCACTGGAGTTGATCTTGTGCTGCTTGTGTGTGTCCAGCAGAGGGCACAAGTGCAGTATTACACACACACACAAACACACAAACCTGGAACGACATGCGTTACCATAAACAGCTGCATTGGTTTAAGAGATTACGCTTTTAATCTTAAAATAACTTTACAGCAGCCCACATCTACTCCATACAGACAGATCTTGTATGAATGTTCTTTTTAGTCCTTTGGTAAAAGTTTAGATATGTTACAATTAAGTTATATCAACAACCTATATACAAGACTGAAGGGTAAAACATGCTAGTATACAATATCAACACCTGGCATAAAAGGCTTTGGGTATACAGATCATTAACCATAGCACAATATAAATAGTCAATATTTATATAATTGTCAAATTAGTTTGGTATGTCCCATCTAAGAACTGCGAGCTTATCGGTTAGAATCATAAGGTTGGGATGTAAAATGAAAGCATCTTGTTTTGTTATACACTATCTTAGTACATTAGAACTGCTAGCTGACTTTGGGTCAATATGCACTTAACATGTGCGGCTGCTTTATTGTGCACTTTAGTATGCAACAACGTTTTAAAGTGCACTTTAAAAAGTGCATACTAAAGTTGTATATCATGCACTAATGCTGTGTGTATCTTAGTAAACACTAAGAGTGCTTTAGCTTTTGTCAAGACTCGGTGGGTTGATTTGTGTGCCATGTGTATTCAGTTTTCACGTGATGTCACACCTGGAGGGGCTTTCCTCACTGCCCGCCTGTTATTTGATCAGATTTGTACTGTATTAAGTATTAAGACAGTGATATTAAAAGACCAAACTCAGTAAACACTTTACTGATGCATACAGGTGAACAGATGAATCCAGAATATGAATGCAGTACATTTTCCCATACAAGACCATTATAAAGAAAATGCTTATTGTGGCTTAAAGTCACCATGAATCTTTGTTTTTTTTTATGGAATATTGCAGTATTTATTATTTATCCATGCACATCTTTTTTATTTATTTTTTCATTTGCCTTATCTTTAATCAAAGTAACTTCAAGTTCCCATCTTGCAGCATCTCTTCTCTGATGACGAGGGCCTGCATTTGTTCTTGTTCCATAAGCCGTTTCACTCGGATATATTACGTCACAAAACGAAAATATCGCAACTTCCGTTTCATGCCGACTTGAATAGTATGAGCCCATAGATATCCATAATAAAGGCTAGATGTCTCGTCCGCGCTGCTGGCCAATGGAGGTCGACGTCCGCACCTGGCGGCCATCTTGTCACAGGCAGCTCGCTCACTCGTAACATTGTGTTTTAATGGTGCGTGTACTTTTTAAATAACCATAACTTGCTCAATTTTCTACCGATTTTCAAAGGGTTTGGTTTGTTATAAACGTCAGAGATGTAGTTACGACACTGCATACTTATGAATAATAAGTGTATAAATAAATAATCATCCAGAATTATAGCCACGTTAATAACGTTTGAAAGAAACCAAACCGTTTATAAATCCGTCAAGATTTCAACGAGATAAGAGTATTTGTGTTCGTGCTGATCACTCATCTTACATCAGGCACCACAGAGCCCGCCAGAAAATGACAAGATGGCCGCCGGTGATGACGATAGAGACTCCGCCGTAAGACATCTAGCCTTTATTATGGATATCTATGGTATGAGCCTACCAGTTTGCAATATCAAGAAGCATAACACGCTGTTTTGTCCAGTTAAATGACACCGGATGACACCGGAAGCCTTGCACATTCAAGCTATAAATTGTCAATAAGGTGTATAATGAATTTGATCTTTGAATATCACTGTCTTGGTGCATTATGTAACGTTAAGCGTTTTTCAAGTAAAGGGCCAGTTTTACTAACAGCTTGCGCCAGTGCAAACCATCTTTTGGCTTTAAAAAAACTACTGTCAGGGTTTACTAAATGCGTGGACAGGGAGCTGAGCTTATTGCATATGCATTTGTAGGAGTTTGCTTTTCAGACGCAACGTGTGGGAGGAGAGTATTTAAATGAATCACGCAAGGTAAAGTTTGTGCTCGTCAATTTACTGGTATTTGCGCCATTATTTACGACCAATGAAAACATTTGCGCTGCTCTTGGTAAGTTAGATTGCGTTGGTCATTATGGAAATGATCCGGCTATGGAATTGCGCTCTCATGCTAATTTGCCCTGTTTAGTAAATCTGGCCCTTCGTGCTTTAATGAGAATGTCCTGTTGTTTTTAGCTAAACTTCTGTATATGGATAACAACTTCACATATCTTTGTGGAGTGAATATTTCAAACATATGTAAATTTGACAGGCCTGTGCTGCAGTATTTGCCCTCCAGGTCTCCGCAACCGTCACGTGACTGAAAACTATGAATTGGCGTCTGGGTTTTCTTGTTCGGCCGCCCGGGGGCAGTTGGAGCTGGATTTGCTCCTGCTAGGGTCGGTGTTCTGCTTACACCCCACGATGCCGTCCCGCACCAAACACCCGCATACGAGCTTGTAAAACGCCCTTCGCATTTCCCTGCTGGCCAGCGTGTAGATGACGGGATTCATGGCGGAGTTCACGACGGCCAGGGCGATGAACCAATCGGCTTTGAGCAGAACCGGGCACCTTCTGGGCCTGCAGGCCACGTCGACGAGGAGGAGCACGAAGATGGGCGTCCAGCAGGCGATGAAGACGCCCACCACGATGCTGACGGTGCGCAGGAGGGCCATGGAGCGCTCACAGTTGCTGTGTTTGGTGACTTTACGGCTGCTGCTCTTCACCAGGATGTAAATGCGGGCGTAGAGGACGGAGACGGCCAGCAGGAGAGAGATGAAGATGGTGATGCAGAACGCCACGTAGTTCTTGCTGTAGAGAGGTAAGATGGTGGAGCACTGAGGAAGATCATTGCGACAGTTCCAGCCCAAAATGGGCAGAGCTCCCAGTGTGATGGCGATCAACCAACACGTGCCTATTAGCAGAAACACACGGTACTTTTTGTTTGCATCATAAGGCCTCATTTTTATCATAGTGAGATGCCGCTCGATCGCAATCGCCAACAGGCTGAAGATAGAAGCGCCTAGAGCTACAAACATACTTCCTTCACGGACAAACCACTCGGCTGGAGACAAGTGTAACGTCCGCTGTCCTGACATCAACAAGTTTACTAGGTAGACGACACCGGCCAATAAGTCACACAACGCCAGGTTGGCAATAAAAAAGTACATCCGGTTGTGAAATTTGTGGTTTTGCCAAATCGCCACCAGGACTATTAAGTTCTCCAAGACGATGAAGCTGCAAATGACCAAAAACACCACGGTTTTGGGGTCCATTGGGGCCTCTTGGGTTTCATTGCGATTGTCTAGTTTCCCAGTGTAATTGTAATGCAGGAAAATGTGCTGATTAATCATTGCAGCGCCTCCAGCAGATGAGGATGAGCATGAAAATGAAGCCGCTCTGTGCTCGGCAGGTAAGACGGGTCACGGCCGGGTGTTTGCTGTGTTCTTCACCCCTGTACTGTCATGTCGGTGGCACACATCTCCCTGTGGAGTGAACCAGATGATGAACTCAAAATGACTCTGGTCTTAAAGGGATAGTTCACCCAAAAAAGAAAACATTGTCATCACTCAACCCTCATGTCGTTAAAACAAAATGAAGATCTTTTGGATGAAATCTGAGAGCTTTCTGTTCCTCCATTGACAGCTGCGCAACTACCACTTTGACGCTTCAAAAAGTTCATAAAGAGATTATAAAACTAATCCATATGAATTGAGCGGTAGTCCAAATTTTCTTGATCGCTATAGGATGGACAGATTGAATTTAGGCTTAGTTTTGCAATCTCTTTATGAACTTTTTGAAGCGTCAAAGTGGTAGTTGCGTAGACTGTCAATGGAGGAACAGAAAGCTCTCAGATTTCATTGAAATACCTTCATATTGAGTATCATGTGAATTATTCCTTGTAGGCTTATTTTATCGATATCTCTTATATCTCAAGAGCATCCCTTTCACGATTCAGTCAGTTGCTGATGGATCTGCTCTTCGTTTTATTTCACTCACATATGTTTCATGAAAACCATATTGACTTTAACAAGGCTAGAATATCTGAGATGTTTCCATTATGCTTAAAGTCCATGATGCCAATAAAGAATTAAGATGACTATCAAGCATAAATTAATATTGTAGCTGTACAAAAATTGTGGTGGTACTACTCAGATATACTGTATATATGCTGAATGATTATAGAAATGTACTTCAACGTACTACCGTTCACGTTTGGACTGTATTTTTTAATGTTTTTTTTTTTAAAAGAAGGCTCCTCTGCTCACCAAATCTGCAGTTATTTGATCAAAAATACGATAAAACCAGTAATATTGTGAAATATTATTACAATTTAAAATAACTTTTCTATTGTAGTATATTTTATTATTTAATTTATCTCTGATCAAAGCTGAATTTTCAGCATCATTACTCCAGTCTTCAGCGTCACGTGATCCTTCAGAAATCACTCTAATATGAGGATTTGCTGCTCAAATCAAACATTTCTTATTATCAATATGCTGCTGCATATTTTTGTGGAAACCGTGATACTTTTTCACGATTCTTTGATGAATAGAAAGTTCAAAAGAATAGCAATAATTTGATATCTTTTGTAAAAAAAAAAAAAATGTCTTTACTTCACTCTTGATGTGTTCTTTTTTAAATAAAAGTATTAATTTCTTCTTACTGACGGTGCACAAACTTTTGAACGGTATCATATTTCAAATAAAACAATGGCACTAACCTTGTAGAAAGTCCATCTTAAACTCACAGTTGCTTCTCAGAACATTTAGTCGTTGGTTTACTGGTCAAATCTGGTGCAGCAGGTTATATAGTGTGTGTGTGTGTGTGTGTGTGTGGTTAACCAGCTATCATGATCCAATCTCCATAACACATCAACCATAAGCGGAATTTTCCAACAGGCTACTTTTTATTATTGTAACATAACATGTCTTGCATGCACATAACATTTAATATCATAATATGATCCAGGATTATTCGATAGATAACTTTTTGTCGTTTGCACTGAGCTCTTCGTGGTGTGCATGAATGACCACTGCCGATTGAATAATAATAATTCAATTTTAAAAAGAGCTATGTTCCGCATTACAAAATACATTCCCAAAAAGTTGTTTAAATATCTAAAAGTCTTTCAGGGATGCACCTGACGAGTAGTTTAAGACGAGTTGGGTCCTTTTTTTGAGTACTCACCATCAGATATCACGAACCGCAGAGTTTCTTCACTGAGACCCATCCGTGTCTTGTTTTGTTATATCTCAGTTCGGAGCTCAGTAAAGGCACTGTGCGCGTGCACGTCGAGACACTGACTGCGCGTAATGGAACTTGGAAGAAAGTCCTTTATCACAACCGCATGTCTGCTGCGCTTTTTCTGCGGTGTGTGTGTGTGTGTGTGTGACAGACAGTCCAGCCCACGACACACACACCTCCACAAGAGGAGAGCCTTTCTGATATAGGAAACAAGATGGCTAGCCTATTCGTCTAGTATTCTCCTCTTAAAAAAACGTTCACTGCTGAAGAAGGGAATAAACAAATAGAACTATATTTAAAATAATGAACAGTTTTATTTTATTTATTTATTATTGCTTTATTTGCTTCGGCTATACTTTCTAAACTGTCAGGTTCCGCTCTTTTTGTTTATCTCTTTTTTGTTTATCACCCTTGGCGCTCTTTTTAAAATCATCTTTTTTTCATGTAGCCTAACATATTTTAGAAATCATCATAAATGATGTATCATTCGAAAGCTTATGAACTCAAAATTCCTCCTGTGAAAAACCATTTTAAATTGGTTGGTTACCATGGAGAGGGTACTCTCTGTTATTTTTAGTGGGATCCTCCCTTTAGTGGGCGGTGTCAGGTTTCATATTACAAAATTTATTTGTAACTATTTTATAATCAAAACCTTTTCTGTTCTTGACAAAACACTCATCATCGGAAACGTCTGAGTCTCAAAGTTCCATATTTTGTGATAGAAGTGATATTTGGACAGAAATGTATTAATTTGTTGCTGGAAAATGCATTTAAAAAAATTCAATGAAATGTGGGTGATACCCGGTGACTATTTTTGGTACAGCGCCTAAACAAAATTTCATTGGAACTTACATTTTTGTGATATCAACTTTAAATTTGGAGCACAACTTGGTTAGACATGTAGCTTTGATTTTATAGTAATTTTATAGGAAAAATTATTTTGTAAAAAAATAAATATACATATATATTTGTTTATAAAAAAAATATTTAGAATAGTACATTTGATTTACAGTAAATTTAAACTTCCATAACTTTTTCATACTTTCCTTTTTTGAAGTGCTTTCACTTGATCTGCTTAGTGTCTTCTTTAAAACAAGACCAAACTTAGTTCTACAGTATATAAGCATTCTTGATTTAATTACAAATTTAATTTAAATTTAATTACAACCATTTAAGTTTGGATAGTGCATTTCACATCTATTCTCATAAAGGGGGATAACAGTTAAGGGGTTAACTTAAATAATTAGAAAAGGCCAAATAGTTTAGTTTATGACAGCGCTGGTCAGTGTCAAAATAGGCTTGTTTGAGATGAGCAAAATCTGCGCAGAACCGATCACCGGTGATCAGCGCGAGATGCATGCCGGTTAGAAATGTGTCCGAGTGCGGTCCGCCTCTGATGTCATGCCGACGTATGTCACAAAACTCTCGCGACCGCAAGGCGCACGTGTCGGATTCTGCAGTCGCGCGCAGTTGCTCTCCACCGACTGCGCTGATCAAAAGCATGATGGGAAACGACTTGCTGACGACACAGCTTAATGCTCATTGGTTTAAACAACCGTGATGTCCTATTGTTCTCTTTTAAAATGTTTGATTTTAAAACTCTGATATCATATTTTATGTGTATAAATTATGTGTGGATATTCCCAAACTCTCTGACAGTGTGATGTATGTGATGTAATAAAAAAAAATAAAAAAAACATATCTGTATTAAAGAAAAAATGATTGATAAACACATAGGCCTATTTAAAATGGAATTAAATAAGTACTTTGGATGTATTGTTCCTTATATTTATTTTCATATTCAAGCAACAAAACTTCAATTACATCCAGTTTATTAGCAACACCTGCACAGCACAGGTGTGAATCCCATGAATCCCGCGATATCCGCCTTTGATCTCACAGGTGTCTGATCCACTGCGAGAAGCGAGATCTGTCCGGCTTGCCTGCGCTTTTTTCACTCCTCCCCTCACTGCAGCCGCCTACTCTCGAGTCTCGACTACATTTCACGCGAGGCAAGGCGCATCTCAAACAAGCCTAATGATTTGGCCAATGAAAAAAAAAGAAGGCGGAGTTTGTTCATAGTTAGTCAGATACCGAGCGCGGTGATTAAGGGCGTTTTCACACCTGAAAGTCCACACCAAGGTCCGAACCAAAGTACACGTTTTGATACATTTTATACTTTAAGAAAAGTTTTGGTTTGGTTTCACACTGCAATTATGCGGGCGCACTAAAGAACTTTACGTGACATACTTGCGTCCTGTCGTCAGGGGCGTGGTAGCGGGGGAAAAGGGGTACCCAGGGCCCGAGGCGGGGGGGGGGGGGGGGTCCGTCCACCCCCAGCCCCCCCACCCCGTTGGAGAAGTCGCTCTCCGTCTCTCCATTTTAAATACGTGTTATCAATCATTTTTCTTTAATACAGATATGTGTTTCTATTTTAAAATTAAAAAAAAAAATTACATCACATAGATCACACTGTCAGAAAGTTTGGGAATATCCACACATAATTTAAACACATAAAACATGATATCAGAGTTTTAAAATCAAACATTTTAAAAGAGAGCAATACATCACGGTTGTTTAAACCAATGAGCATTAAGCTGTGTCGTCAGCAAGTCGTTTCCCATCATGCTTTTGATCAGCGCAGTCGGTGGAGAGCAACTGCGCGCGACTGCAGAATCCGACACGTGCGCCTTGCGGTCGCGAGAGTTTTTTGACCTACGTCGGCATGACATCAGAGGCGGACCGCACTCGGACACATTTCTAACCGGCATGCATCTCGCGCTGATCACCGGTGATCGGTTCTGCGCAGATTTTGCTCATCTCAAACAAGCCTATTGATTGGTTTGTAAATGGATGTGCGTCTGACGTCAGCGTGTTGTCAATTCGGCGGGTAACTTTGACAACATGAATGAACAGACGCATATCTCCCGTCCTCTCATACCCTCTCTCATCCTCTCGGAAAATATTTGGACAGTGTCGGCATTTTTGTGCGTTTTTTCCTCTTGACTTCTTATTATCATCAGACCATAATGTTACTTCAATTAAAAACCTCGTCTCCTCCTCTCCCCATGTGCTACCACGGCTCATTTTTCCTGCCACCTTCTGTTTTTTCGGCTATGCGAGAACCACCGGAACTTCCTGTAAAAGGTCTGAAAGTCCGAACCATACAGAAATGCTTTCACACTAGAAACGAACCAAACCTTTGTTCAGTTTGATCCGGACCGAGACCATAGATATCTATGACCGTCGGACCAAATTTCATCTGTTTGGTTCGGACCGTGGTCCGGGGGAGGTTTCACACCTGTAATTTTGATTCGGACCAAATATAGTGTTGATTTTTTTTTGTTTGGTGTGGTTCGCTTTCACACTGCCCTTTTTGCAAGTGAACCAAAGAAACCTATGAGCATTATACAATATCATCTATATGATGTTGTAATTAGGATTTTGCGAAGACAAAGATGTGTACGGTTCCGGTGGAGAGAGCATGCTCTTAACTGATAAAGTTTTTTATTAAAAACAAGTGAACAGTCAGTAATAAAATAAGAACAAATACACAAATTACAAGCAGAGATTAATACTAAATATCAAAGTTACAAAGTCTAACAGTATATTCAGGTACAGAAATTAATAATTAAGCCTAAATGTAAAATAAAACTATTTGTTCACTGTAGAAATTAAACATAGTTTCATCTTTGTTAAAGCTGTATTTTGTTGTTTCATTAACATTAATGACACATATACAACAGCAGGAATATTAGGTGTCTGCTGTCACTTTAAGACCGAATTCACCGAAAAAACTGACAAACATCTTGTTTCTTTCTCAACTGTTCACTTATGACATAACTGAGAGAATACTTCCTGAGACGGGTATTTAGACGAGTTTTTTAACATAATTTTGTGTGCATGTGTCCGTTCAAGGGCAAGGAAACGCAGAAGAGGAATCAATTCGTTGTTCGAGCGCTATCTGAAATGCGATCGCTGTATAGCGATCAAGGAACTCACTTTACGGGTAAGGTTTTAAAATGAAAACCTTGGCTGTAAAACAGAAGTTTCACATCCCCTATCGGACTCCTTTATAGGACACTTTACAAGAGTATTTGAAATTGATGACGAGTTCTTTGAAAAATACTCATTTCACTGCTCTTAGTGCTCAAAACGCAAAAGATTTGACAAGCGCTGCTTTCAATTTACAGGTTCAGAACCCTGTACAAGTGGGGGATCAGGTTCTAATTGAGAAAATTGGGATTTTTGGGCCCATAGCCACTCGATATGCCCTCATCCAGTGTTGTTGACAACTCCAACCTCTGTACTTGTTGAAATCGAGCCAGGTGTGACTCGATGGATGCATGTGACTCAAACTAAACTTATTTCTTCTCCTGCTTGCTCTACTAACCTTCCCGATTCTTCTTAAATACCACAGGTGAAGTAAAGGAACACTCTACTGATTTCACCTAGAATGTGAAATAGTTGTTGCTGCTATAACTGCTATGATGATGTTTACAATTCATTCTTTTATTTTCTCTTATAGGGATCCTGAATTATGCATTTTCAGAGAATGCTGATATAATGCTCTCTTGCCAGGAAAATGAATTAAATGATTAAGAGCTGTGTTTTTGTTGTGAGTTATGTTTGTTTCCACATATTCTTTATATCTACTCCTATCGATTATTGGGCATGAATAGATGCTATCTGGAGACTATTCGAATACCATCCAACCAGACTGCTGTTTCAAAATGCAGTCCAAAACCAAGAAAGAAAGAGATGGCCAAACACCTCAGCTCAAAAGAAAGAAAAACGGATGATCTTCTATGCATTCATTCTCTTGTGTGTTTGTATCTTTGCTAAAGGGTAAAAGGAAATTGTTTATGCTCCTGCAAAAGTTATTGATCAAAAGATTGAAGTGTATGAGGATATTGTTAAAAAATAATCTTGTGTGTAGCAGAAAAAGAAAAAAATAGATTTCTTGCTTATGTTTTATCATTTGCTTATGTTTTATCATGTAATCATCATATTTTAAGAAATCATTTTTATCATGTTGATGTGTTTCTCATTACTATCATTTTGATGTATTTACCATTATTATCTTTTGAAATGTAGCTATGTGTTACGGAATCAGACTCACGAGACAGATGAAGCAAACAGGAAGTT